TTCATACATCCGTTTTGTTTTTACATTTTTTATACAACGAAGATATATAACATAATGACATTGTCAAAGATACGCTCAGATTATAGCCCAATTGATTTTCTTACATTTTTTTTTCTGCAGAAAATGTTAATATGAATATGAATAGACATTCCAGGTACCATAACAACTTTATCACAATGACGTTGTTATAGGGTGAGGAGGTCCTAAGGCACTGTTTTACCTTATCCTTATGCCTTTATCCTATAGTTTGCAAAATTGTGTCTGCTCGTTCTGTCCCTCCGCTTCCTTTGCAGGTCTGAATCTTCAATAAGGATGCTTTTTACTGGGCGCTGCTGATAGCCTTTCACTAGTGAGTGAAAAAGGTAGATATTTTGTCACTTTATTTTCTGAATGGGGAACTAGTGATAGGCTGAGAATGTCAGGTGACACTCTCAGGAAATCAGCGGCACCGCCCAGTCAAAGGAAGTAGAGGGGCAAAGTGAACTGGCACAGTTTAGCAGAATTTTATTTGGTTAACCCGTTCATTAATGGTTTAACACCTTAAGGTAAGTTGGCGTCCTGGACCTCCGTGCACCATAATAACTTCATTGCGATAAAGGTGTTATGGTGGTTGGAGTGGTCCTTTAAGGAATGCATTGCCGAATAGTAAATGGTGTTTTACAGCCACAGTGACTGCCTAAAAAGGACAAAGGCTTTCTCTCCCACAGCAGGAAAACATCTCCATACCGCGGGGTGAGCCCCAACCTTAGCTGCCAAACAGAAGGCTAAAGACTACTACTCAGCTAAACTCCCTCCTGCCACCTACCCCTTACCTGCTTCCAGAGGTAACAACCTTTGCACTTACTGCCAAACCCCCTACTCTCCCGGCCTTCCCCCTTTCTTTTTTTGTTTTTGTTTCATTAATCGTTTATTATAAATTTTTTCCGCATTTAAATAACACACACACATAACATATATGAATTGTATATCGCATTGCATTACGTCTATATGAAAGTGTAATTTGTTGGGTTACTTCATTCCAAAAAGCTCATATCAGATATATAAACACAAACTATTGAAACATAAATCATTCATCCACAATGTTTCCGGATGGACACGGCAGCTCCCTCAATCTCTCTTTAATAAGAACTCTATTGTTATAAAACAATACGTACTTCAGATATTACTTTCCATGATCCTTTGCCATCCTCCTTTCTTTGGCAGCTCTTGTACCAGATGCGAAACGCGTCCAGTTAGATTTTGCTTTTTGTCTTTTTACAGGGGTATAGATTTTGTGCACTTACATGTTTTTTTTGCTATCTAGATGTGTAACTGGTCTGTTTTATTATGTCAATAAACACTTACTGAATTTGGAATTGCTTAATTGAAACTCCTTTCCTTGTGTTGGATATGCTTGGAGTGCTGGCCACCTATTTTTAATTACAATTTTGGTTATCGTGGATCTGCAGAATCGTCACCGGAGAATCCAATTTAACCTGGTTAATGTAAGTGAATTATTTAATTATTATTTCTCTATACACACTGGATGGAACTTCCATTGAGGAAGAGTTTAACGAAGGCGGTGAACAATATTACAGTACAAGCAAAACACCGACTACCTGAATTGCCTCCTGGCTGGCCTAGTTAGTACATAGCACGAGTCCTCTTCTCCTGGACTTTAAACATCAAGGAGGAGGCCTCCCCTATTAAGGGACACATTGTGTTAAAAAAATATATGCCTATTACCAAATCTAATGAAAGAAAAAAGACTCATTAGTGTATTGTCATTCTCACTATTATTATCCAGTTTTTCATCAACTGTAGTGCTTTAGGGGTCTGAAGAGTGCATTTAAAGTGGGAAGGATAGGTTTAGGAAATGTGATATATTAAAGCAGGTCTGTCAATTTATGGGGTCTTTGCATAATTTCTGGTTAGGTTCCAGGGGTTGTGGGGTGCAGTGGAAGGTAGGTTTTGCATATAAAGGTAGGTGTTTACTTAATCTTTGACTCCTGGCGTTTAAACTGCCAGGAACCACAAAAGTACAACACTGAGTACTAGGAAGGACCCAGCGAGACCCAGGGAACCCCTATCTATCATGTCTCGTGATGAGTGAAGCAATGCCTGAATCTCACAGCTGTCCATTGTGATGACTGATGGGATTGAAGTAATGTTGATGGTGGAACCTCGCCTTTTGTCAAGTGTTGTCAAACTCAGGCTTGCCCATAAGAAAAAGCAATCCATACATTGTCTTACGGTATCTTTGGTTTGAGTTTGAATTTCAATGAAGGAGGATTTCAATCCATTTATGAAATACTCACACGTGACAGAGCCACTTTCTCTTTCCTGTGATAGATACATGCAGGAATATGCTATGCTCACCTCCCAGTGTTACCGCCACACAGCGAGGTTGTGGACTCTGGGAAAATCTATACATTTTCCAACCGAATCTCATCTTCATTATCCCTGCACCATTATCTCCCATGTTTCTTCCAAAAAAAGCGTTTCTGAAATGTATATAATATTAAATAACACTAGCCTCCAGTACAGGAATCTTCTCTTGTTCTCTGTAATATCCTCATTGCTGACAGGGAGGGAGGGATGTAGGCAAAGTGAGAGATGCTGGCCATTGACAATCCCATTGCAGCAGTTAGAACAAAAATGCCATCGGAAACCTAGCTGAACTACTTTAGCATTTTTTCCCAGCGTGTACATTTTTTAATACCTCCCAACTGTCCCTATTTAGGAAGTGCAGTCCCTATGTACATTTTTCATACCTCCCAACTGTCCCTATTTAGGAGGTGCAGTCCCTATGTACATTTTTTATACCTCCCAACTGTCCCTATTTAGGAGGTGCAGTCCCTCTGTACATTTTTCATACCTCCCAACTGTCCCTATTTAAGAGGTGCAGTCCCTATGTACATTTTTCATACCTCTCAACTGTCCCCATTCAGGAGGTGCAGTCCCTGTGTACATTTTTCATACCTCCCAACTGTCCCTGTTTACGAGGTGCAGTCCCTCTGTACATTTTTCATAGCTCTCAACTGTCCCTACTTAGAAGGTGCAGTCCCTCTGTACATTTTTCATACCTCCCAACTGTCCCTATTTAGCAGATGTAGTCCCTAATACCTCTGTCCCTCTTTTCTAGAAGCTCCGTATTGTTGGTGTGTCTGAGTGAATAACAGAGCTCCACAACTCCCAGTAACGTGTCTTTAAACTACAATACATGTGTTCAGAAATCAATCTGTGTAAATAAGATATAATGTTATTTTTCTACATGATATTTTATTTGCATAAATTATAGGAAAGTCACCTAAAATTTCTCAGAACAGCCCTGCCCCTGGCCACACCCCTAAATTTAAAGTGACCCTCATAGTCCATTGGAAATGTTGGCAGGTATGATATTAAATATTATAATGTCGTTGTCAACGCACTACATTTCCAGGTTTAGTGAATAAGCCCCACATACACTAAAGTTAGGGTTTCTTTTCCACAGAGCTATGTGATGTTCTGTTGAGCTCTGTGGTGTTCTGCAGAGCTTTATGTGATTTTCTGCAGAGCTCTGTGACTTCCTGCATTATTATATTATATTATTATTATATTATGTTATTATATTATTATTATATTATAATATTATTGTTATTATAATAATTATATTATTATATATCAGTTACAGGAACCATGAAACCCTGACAGTATGTAGGAGAGGAATCACTGTCCCAGTCATGGCAGCTATGATATATATTATATTATTATATTATTATTATATTTATTATTATATTATATATTATATTATTGTTATTATTATATTATTATTATATTATTTTATTGTTATTATTATATTATGTCATTATATTATAGTATTATATTTTATTATATTAATTATTATATTATGTTATTATGTTATTATATTATTATATTATTTTATTATATTGTTATATTATATTATATTATATTTTATTATATTATTATTATATTATTATTATTATATTTATTATTATATGTTATTATATTATTATTATATTGTATTATTATATTATTGTTATTATTATATTATATTATTATATTAGTATTATATTATTATATTTTTATTATATTATTATATTATATTATATATTATTATTATATTTATTATTATATTATATAATATTATTATTATGTTATTATATTATTATTATATCATATATTATTATTATATATTATTATTATTATATTATATATTATTATTATTATGTTATTATATTATATATTATTATATTATTATATATCAGTTACAGGAACCATGGAGCCCTGGCTGCCTTCCTGAGGTTCCTGAATCCTTCACACAGCAGGGCAGCTCTGATAGCCTGCAGCTCACACCCCGACAGCCAATCAGAGCAGCCGCTCGACCAAAAGGGGCGGGGTTTTCTGGTCACGAGCATTTTGTTTCGGGTGAAGTGGCGGTCACGTTGCTGGGAGACGGTATCTAAAGACTCCCCCGTTGTTAAGGTCGAAGGTCGCGTTCAGGGGGCGTGGCTTCGGCCTGGTAGGTCAGCTGAAGGCGTTTGAAGCTTCTGATTGGCTGAGAGGAGCCCTGTTCACACTTCCGGGAGGAGAGGCTGATGGAGGAGTGAAGGAGAGAGATAGAGAGGAGTCCGAGGGAAACATGGAGGACCTGGGCTTTAAAATCGTATTCCCAGAGTCAGCCCTGCCAGGTAACCATAGCAACACAGGGAGTGATAACCTGATATTAATAATTAATAACCAATTCATAGAGCATTATACATGGATACTGGGAATTAGAGTTATAGCAATACATGGA